CAGGATAACAATTCATCCCAAGACCATTTCTATCTAAAAACCCCATCTAAAAATCTGAGAAGAATGAAACAATATGAGAAATTGTAAAAACCATGTGATGCATTGATGTTAGCTTAAAAAATTTCATTATCTGCCAAATACCTAGAACAAGAGGTGGCTGGTGGTTAGGATTATACATCAGAAGCTAGATATATGTCCTATACTTCCAGACAACAAAGAAACACAGACCTCAAAACATCCTTGAAAGCTCAACAAATAAACAGTATGGGACCTGGAACATCATCACAGATGGTTGCCCACAATTGCCCAAACATAACATTGCTCCATAAAAAATTGAGATCAACATTTTAAATAATAGATGCAGATGCCACTGTACCAAATACTCAGCCTCTCCAAGTTACGTGATACCAAAAACCTTTCAAAATATAGGGGACATAGCAGAAGAAATCAGTCATAAAGGAAGAGGATGAGGGACAAATAACCCCCATTCTCCTGTCTCCTATTGGAATTGTCTTCAAGATGCTTTCAGTGAGCCTATGAAAAATGAGCTTATATTGAGATATTTTATTCAATTAAAGGAGTAGTTATTTATCCATCTATGCAACAGTCTTCAGAACATTAAATATAAAAGAAAAATGGCTGGACAAAGACTTGCTCCAATAGCATTTCTATCTGAACTCTATCAAAAAAGTAATAAGAAAAATGATAATAGCTGACATTTCTGTACCACTACAAGGCTTAAAAAGCATTTTGTACAATAATGGCTTACATTTTTATTATACATATATATGAAATATGTACATATTATACATACATGTACATTTATATACACACGTATTAATTCCTTTGATCTCCACAATACAACTGTGCAAATAATTACTGGAAGTATTATTACACCCATTTTACAGATGAGGAAACTGAGGCTTGGGGAGGTTAAGTGACTTGCCTAAGGTCACTAACAATAAGTGTTAGGTACAAGATTTAAGCCTAAGTGTTCCAGGCCCTAAGTCTAACATTCTTTCCACCACACCATGCTTCACCTCAGAAGAGGGATAAGAAACTGAGTGAGGATAGGCTAATGCAATCCATCCCCACCAATAGAAAAATAGCACTAATGCACCAGGAGTGTCATGTTGGTATGACACACATGCCGTATATTTTTCCCAAAGCATGAAGCCTTTAAAGGAGTACTGATGAAAAACAAAACAAAACAAAACACGTTTGCAATTACACATCCTAAACTGGCCAGAGCAGTGCAATCAGCAGGAGTAGGTAAGAAACAAACACAATCTGGAAGCATGAATTGCTTAGGACATTAGTCTCTTGACTTTCCTGGTACTGGTTGATCATTATTCCAAAGAGATGAGGGGACAGATGTTAAATTGGTTTAGTAACTTAAAAGAATACTCATGAGTGATAGAGAAAAGATGGTCAGTGACCACAGGGAGCTCTCTATCAGTGCCCATACTGCTCCGTAGATAACCTCAGCTTATATGGAACAGACATTGCCAATCAAGATAAAGGTCTCAGTACATGAGGCAGTAAATAAAAACTGGACTGATAAGGGAAGGAAAAAATGAGAAAAGCTTCTAGCTTCTATAGAAGCTATATATCTCTGATAACCATTGGATAGGATGATATGAGCCGAAATACATTTCTTTGTACAGGTATTAAAGGGGTTCATACAATTTCACTCACTACTACACTGAACATAGGGCAAACAATGGAATCTAGTGAGAGCAAATTGGATTTGGTTTCAGAGGAACTCGGCTTTCCTTCCAGGTCCCTTACTTAACAATTTGTGTGACCTGTTACAAGTCACTTCCCCTCTGTGGGGCTCAGTTTCCTCATCTGTAAAATGAGGAGGTTGGAACAGATGGTCTCTGAGTTCTCTTCCAGCTTTTAATATCATGATCCTGAACAGGGATGGTTATATTTTATTCTATGCTTTGATATTATTATAAGCTTTTAACCAAGAAGACTCCCAATTAGTTGACTCTGCATTCCTACTGGAAGTAATCAGAAGTAGGGTCAATTTCTAGACATCTACAAAGTGCAGAGCTTTTTAATATTTGTTTAGGTCAGTGTAAAGACCACTTCTCCATAACATGAGAGAGCTGGATTAGATGGTCTTGAAAGGCTCTATCCAGTGCTAAATTCTGTGATCCCATTCAGTGCAAAAGGATCCACCAGGTCTGGTCAAGCACTAGCTTCTAACCAGTCTCTCTCTCTCTCATTTTTAAATGGTCATGTTATTAAAAAATAATCATAATTAACAAGCCTTTAGTGAGGCCTTATAGTGTGTTCAGCCCTGGCTAGGATAGGTGCTAGGGGGAACAGTCTTTAACCTGAAAGTAGTAGAGCTGATGGCCTATTTTTTGAAGAAAACACTAATGTTTGACCCCATTAATGTGTTTATTACATATAAAAGAATCTGTAATAAATGTTGGACTGTATGATACAGACTAGGAGCAAAAGGAATTTGAAGGAAAGTGAACACAATGAATAATTGCTAACACTTATATAATTGCTAATTAGAACATGTATGCACACACACATATAACTACAAGTTGTCTCCCAGATAGAATGAAAGCTCCTTGAAGGCATGGATTTTTGTGTTGTGTTTGTATTTCCTGACCTTCTATGAGGTCTGGCACATGATAGGTGTTTAATAAATGCTTGTCAATTGGTGGATTTAGCACAAAGCACTCTCATGTTTTGTATCTCATTTGAACCTCACAACAACCTCGTGATAGAGGTACTGTAGTTATTTTATGCCCATTTTACAGAAAAGGAAACAGTGGTGCAAAGCAGTAAGTTAATATGTGCATGGCCACACAGCTACTAAGCCTCAGAGGTAGATCTGAACCTTGCTGGCTCCCTGCCCACCACTGTATCCACTACATCCATATAATTGTCATACCTGTAGAATGAGAAAATTCTCTCAAAAGAGCACAGGAGACATGAAACAATAAAAATCTCCAAATGTTTCCATCTCTTGTTTGAATCTTCTTTTTGAAGTGCTCACATACCTACTATCCTGTCCCTTTTAATGGCAGGAACAATGTCCTGGCTTCATATTCTTTGAGACAAGTGGTATACTTGTCAGGAGAGTATCATTTCTCTTCCTAGCAGAAAGCTGGGAGTGAATATGCCATTTCTACGAAGAGCTCTTTCCCTGAACATTTTCAATACGTGCTTTTCACATTTACGTGCACAAATACGTGCATTTAATTCATGTTCCTAGAACTAAAAATCATCTTCAGTCCTTTCCAGTCATTCTAAGTTTTGTGGGAGGAAGAATTCCTGCTTGCATGGATTACTTGGGAAAGTTGACTGCAGGAATGCATCCTGTTTTGTGGCTTTTAAAGTCACTGTCCTCTAGCAAATCCCATTGAGGGAGCAGAAATAATTTAATTGTAACAATGTAACTTGACTTCGTGCATTTAAGTGTCCTCAAATCAAATTTCTGAAAAGAGGCATTTGTTTCTCAGAAACCTGCCACTAATGCCAATGAAAACAGACAGGACAACATGAGTGACTGATTTCTGAATGTCACTGTTTCCTGAGCAAAGACCCAAATATCTTCTGCAGCTGTCACTGTTACTGTGCTAAGAGATGGAAGCTGAGGCATGGAATTTTAAGACTGGGAGGCAGATTGCCATAATTTTTTGAAATCATCACTTTTTAAAGAGTCTCCTACACTAGAGAAATCCATTTCAGACCCCTCCCTCCCCCAAAGGTTCCAAGTCTGGCGCAGTGAAAAGAGTGCTGGATATGGAGTCAGAGAATAGGATCAGAATCTCTACCCCTTACTATCTATGCCACCTTAGACAAGTCACCTTCACTTTTCTGGGCCTCAGTTTCTTCATCTGTAAAGTGGACTGGATGCATTCTAAGGTGCCCTAAGCCTTTGATTCTGAATTCATCACTCCAATCAACTTGCCTTTTATCTTTGTAAGGGAGTGTAGGGATCCAGTCACAGCTCTCAAAAATGGTCATTTAGAAGGCTGCCTTGACTCTTTTCCAAGGTAAATCACATCTCTAATTATTTTAAAGGGTCTGCCACCAAACCTTGTTTAAAAACAAAACTTGCTACCATCCTGGAAGTAAACCTAAAGACCATTTCTGGTGACTGTCATTTATGTCTAAATGTATGCTCACGTTAGCGTTCTATCTCTAACACTTGGGTTAGCGCTTGCCCGCTTTCACAGGGGATGGGGGTTAAGTTCCTATTTCAAAACTGCCTCAGCATTTCCCCGCAGCTGAAAGGAAGAGTTACAGAAGCAAACACATCCGCGCCTACTGCCGCCCACAGATCTGTGAGCTGGGAGTGCTGATATGGGGGCCTTCGTTTGAAAAACAAAGTTCAGCAAACCCAAACGTCGGGTTAAAGGCGGAGTACAGAGGGTTAAAGTGGTTCTCAGGTAGTCCTATAAAAACCGTGTGTCTCGGCCCCAGCACTGCTTCAAAGATGACTCCAGTCATCTTGTCACTTACCCCAGCACTTTTCTGCAAGGCTGTGCTGAAAGCCCTACAAATTATCTGACCTGAAGGGATGATTATTTTACTACCACGTTTGACATCACTTCCCTCGTTATTCTCCGGGCTACGGTATGAAACGTTACGCTGCGAGGAGGGAGCTTTCCTTTCCGGGGAGTCATGAAGTCTCCCTGAAAGGCCGTATTAGCCAAATCCAGGTGTTTCCTTCCCCTCTCGGCGCCGCCCCGCCTGCAGCTCCCTTGGGCCAGCTGACACCTCCAGGGCACAGTACTCCCGTGGCGTCCCCGTCCTCGAGGGGAGCAGACGAAGCCCCGGGCTCCTGCAGCTGCTGGGGCTCCTGCAGCTGCTGGGGCTCCAGAGCCGAGGCATTTTCTCCTCCCTCCTTCACTCTTTCAACAAGTCCATTTCCCTTAAAACAGCTTGGGGGCAGTCAGTCTCAGCCAGGCTCCAGCCTTGCCCCGCCTGACCCCCCCACCCCACCCCCAAGTCCTTCTCACCTGTGCGGTTCTTAAGGACCGGATCCTCGCTGTCGTCCGCCAGCACCGCTGTTCGGGACACATCGAGGCCCGACGCCGCCGTGGCTGCGGGCATAGCTCCGCGCCACTTTGAGCTGCCCCCGCTGCCTCCCCCGGGAGCACCAGGCTCCGGCAGGAACCGTGGAGATAGTGAGAGGAGGGAGCGGGGGAGAAGGGACGGGACGAGAAAGGAGGGGAAGAAGAGGAGGAGAAGGAGAGAGGGAACAGCCGGAGTGGGCAGCGGGAGGGCAGCGAGGTCCTCGGTGGCCTCGGGCAGCTGGCTGTCCCGTCCGTGCCGCTCTCTGTCCCGTACAGCTCTCCTCCTTCTCTGCCTCTCTCCCTCCCTCCGTCTCGCGCGTCCAGCCCAGTCTGGCGAAGAAGCACTCAGCCCCCAAATGGTGACAGCTCCATGCAGCCCTCTAGGGCGCTGGGTCCCGAGCGCAGTGCCGCTGTCCCTGGGCAGTGGAAAATGGGCCGGCCAGGCGGGCGGCAGGCTGGGGCTGAGGCTGAGGAGGCGCTATGCAAGGAAGAACCGGCGCCTGAGCTCTACCCCCGGCTCTCGCAGCCCTAGCTGTGAGCTCAGTTTTCCTTCTCTGGCCGCCCCGCCCTTTCTTCCCCCACCCCTCCCCTAGCCCTGCCCAGCCCAAGTCTCCCTGCAGCAGCTTCTGGGGCCCTAGTGGGGCGGGCTTAGAAATGAGGAGCTGCCTCCAAGGGGCGGGGCCGTCAGGGGCGGGGTTTTGTGCAGGTGAGATGACTGTGGCGGTGGAAGACCCTAAAGATTGGGGAAAAGGCGCAGCACAGTGTGTACAGCTACTGGCAACAGCAGAGGAGGAGGGAATATTCCATATGTATGCTGTGTATGTCAGATTATCCTACAGCTCTAAGCAGGTGCATGCGAAGAGGACCCCATGAACCTTACCTACCTCTTGTCACAGGCACAGAGACCTAGACTACGACTGTCCTCCAAAATAAGAGCTCACATTTCAACTGGACTTTCAAGTCTGCGAAGCACTTTTCTCAAAACCACGTCTATGATAAAGGTTGTGCAAGTGTGATGATTATCTCCATTTTACAGCTGGGAAAACCAAATCCCAGAGAATCGGAAGTGACATGCCCAAAGTCCAGGAGAAAAGTGTCAAAACTGGGGTTACAACTCAGACTTCAACTCCAAGGCCAGGACTTTTTAGAGATACACTTCCTCTCAGTAAATTCAATCTCACAGGTTGCAGCAAATTCCCTCTCACAGATTTCTAGATTGTAAGAAATCAACTAGTCAAAAAACACCCATTTTACAGATGAGAAAACCGAGGCCTCCAGTGAGGAAAGAACTTGCCTAAGGTCACACAGTTAGTGGCAGAACCTAGACTAGAATTTAGGTCTTCATCAAGCAGCCTCTCGCTCCTAGCATGTAGGCAGCTATGATAGTGGGAAGAACACCTGATTCGGAACCGAGAGACCTGAACTCAATCCTTATTAGCTGTGTGGCTTTATCCAACCTTTTGAACCTCAGTTTCCCCATCTATAAAATGGGCATGAGAATACTCAAAACTATTTATCTCACAGAACTGTTTTGAGGATCAAATGAGGACAGATATAATGTGCTTTATAAAACCATAAAGCACTACATCCTATAAAGTCCCCTGTCATTATTATCCCTCACTTCCTGTAATTAAACATCATGGGACTGTCATCCATGAACTTAACTAAACTTTTTTGGGGGGGCAACCCATTTAGATTTTTAGTCTATACTACTTTGTCTGTGGCTGTGAAGTCCTACTGTGTGAAGCAGGAATTTACTTTGTCCTAAACTTCTCTCTCTCTCAGGCTTCAAGGGTGTTTATGTCTTTGGAGGGGAGGATCAGAGAAGGCACATGCCTAATTCTAGTATCCAGGATTTAGCTAACAAGCCCTCTATCAACCTTGTGATTTTTTCTTTTAATCATTGTCCTTCTTAACAATTTTCTTTCCACCCTACAGAAGCCTAAAGCTATTCTCTACTGGGATGGAAAAGAATATTCCTAATGAATGGATACTAGAAAATTCACAGGTAGGCTTCAGGACCCAACCTTTTTCCTTCCATCCTTGCCTTTCTCCTCTCCTTCTCTCAGGGCTCATTTCCATCTTCACTAAAGCTTCTGAGCTATGATAGACAAGCCTTGGCAAAACTGTTTTGCTAACCAGGACTTCCAAGAACTTGGAAGCATCGTCATGCACCTACTTCTGTCATGGCTGAGATTGAGATGAGAGGGGACAGGACAGGAACACCTGCTCCAAGCACCCTTCTGCTAATGAAATAGGGGCCAGAACTAGATGTGAGACCAATAATAGCACTTGGGTAGCCTGAGATTGAGTTTGGAGCCAGTGTAAGATCTTTCTTTAGGAGGTGAATAAGAAGAAAACAAAATACTTAGCTCCTTGTATAAGATACATTGTACGTTACACATGAATGTATATGTCTTATACACAAATGTATACGCGTATCTTATACATACATTATGTTTGTATAATACATAATTTTCCTTTAAAATAATTTACTAATGTTCTTTTTAAATACATCACTCACTTGCCGATGATACCCCTTCTAATAGAACCCTCCCTTGTAACAAATATAGTCAAACAAAACATCTTGACATATTGTCCATATCTCATGACCTATTCCATACCTATCATCTACCCGCCCTCAGAAGAGAGGCAGGAAGTGTGATTTACCATTAGTACTCTGAAATCAAGATTGGACATTGCATGGATCCAATTCTTTCAATGTTGCTTACATTTACATTATTGTGTTCCAGGAAATTGTTTCCCTGGTTCAGTTTATTTCATTCTGTATCAGTTCACACAAGCCTTCTCAAGTTTTTCTGAGTTCTTCACATTCATCATTTTGTATGTACAATATTTCATCATATTCAGATTCAGTCACAAATTGTTTAGTCATTCCATAGTGAGTGGGCACCAACTCTTGTTCTAGTTCTTTGCCATTACTTTATTATTATTTTTTAACTGTTGGATGGACATTCAATGAAATAGAAGACTTTCAAGCATTCTTGATAAAAAGACTAAATAGAAATAGAAATAGAAAAAGGCTGAATAGAAAATTTGACTTTCAAATACAAGACTCAAGACTTTCTTGTATTCCCCATCCCTTAGCACAGTGCCTGGCACATAGGAGCTGCTTATTAATAAATTCTTGTTAACTTGACTCAATCCCTAAAGAATACCTTTTCTTCAAATGGCATCAGTGATAGAAAATCTCTAAATCTCTAAAAACGAAATGAACTTTCTATTGCTCTTCCTTGCTTAGAAATCCACAGGAAAATATCCTTAGGTTCAATTCTTCGGTTCAATTCAATTTGACAAATATTGACTAAATACCTACTAAAGTGTGTATTAATACTAAAGTATTGTACCAAGCTCTGACTCAGAGTCAGAGTCAATAAACAAACATCTTCTATGTTCCAGGCATTGTGCTAAGCGCTGGGGATACAAAGAAAGGCATAAGACAGTCTCTGCCCTCAAGGAGCTCAGAATCTAATGGGGGAGACAACACATAGAAAGAAGATGAAAAACAGAAAAGGGAGGGGGAAGGAGAAAGCTGGCAGGGGCATGATGGAGCACGGTGAAGTCCTACAGCCAGGTAGGGAGATGATCTGAGGAGATGAGAGTTTCAGGGTTGATTATATCTTGAAGAATGATGAATTTCTGGAGATTATTAAGCCCAGAGAAGCAACCAAGTGATATAAAGACATAAAAGACATACCTCCCTCTCCCTCATAGGGCTTACATTCTACTGTAGGGGATACAACATCTACATAGATAGGTAAGTAAAAAGCAATTTCCAGAAGGAGAGAACACTAACTAATGGGATCAGGCTGTTGTGTCTTCACTATCTAGAACACATGTATCACCACTCCCCACCCAACCCTCCTTTCTTTGATTTGCAATGAAATTTCAGCTCCTGAAAGTTCCATGAAATTACCATGAAACCTTCTCAGATTCATCTAAAATGACTGCTTACTTAGAATTATGCAAATAAAATAATTAACATAGTCCTCTGACTCAGAGATTTCACTTCCCTTCCCCCCTGACAAAAAGAAAATTACTGACAAAAAGAAAGACTCCTTCCCATCAAAATATGTGGTAGTAAAAACAAAAACAAAAACAAAAACAAAAAAAAAACTGGGAATAAAGAGGATGCCCATCAGTTGGGGAAAGGCTAAACAAATTGTGGTATGTGAATGTAATGGGTTATAGCTGTGCTGTAAGGATCAGCAAACATGAATACAGAGAAGCATGAAAAGACTTACATGAACTGATGCAAAATGAAGTAAACAGAGCCAGGAAAATAGTACACATGATGCCCATAACAATGTAAATAGAAAGAACAGCAACTGCCACTATCAAAAATCAAAATTAAATGTCTAAATTATAAAGAACAAGCTTGACCACCAAGAAGAGACAGGAGAGATATATGCTATGTTAACAGGATTTTGTATGTAGTCCAGATAGGACTGGGTCTCTAACCTGTGAATATCTGGAACTGCACAAAGCAGGCCAGAGACAGGAGACAAATATCAGTTTAATTAATTACTTTCAAAGTGAGGAATACTCTCTATGCTGGGGTAAAGGCACAGTTTATATACATAAATCACAAGTGTGAAAGCGAGGGGAAAGGTAGATTACAAAACAATTATTTCCAGGGCCTAAATGGTTTCCCATGACAAGCCCCAGTGAGTGCATGACAATATAGATGCCCTGAGTCCCTTGGGAACAGTGTTGTTTCAAGTCTTAGAGGGTTTTTACTAGGTGGGGTACAAGACCAGAGTTCTGTGATAGGAACAAATTCTACAATCTTTGATTTGCTTCACTTAAGGTACATTGGCACAGGAATGTAGTGATTATGAGAAGGTAGTCAAAGGTTTGATTGATCATTTCAAGCTACATTGTAAGCTTCTGACTCCCAACCCAGAAGAGGCGGTCCTGAGAAATCTAAATTGAAAGTATATTCATTCATATCATATAGATTAATATGGAAATCATAATTCCCTTCACAGCTATATGAACCTTTGTGTAAGAGGTAACGGTCCATGGGTGTGCAACATTGTATAAAACATCAGATATTTTCTATGTGTTGTTTGGTTTTCCTGAATTTTTTTCTCTTTCTTGTCTTTGTAAAATAAGTATTTGTTATAAGGGGAAGGAGAGTGATACAGGGAAATGTAGATGAAATAAAAGCAAAAGAGCAATGAAAATCTATTTTTTTTAAAATAAATTGATTGCTTTCCCTAACCCTGCTCAGTCATTGTGGCACTCTCACAGACTCTCACAGACCCACAAAATACCAGAGCTGGAAGGGCTCTTAAAGGCCATTGAATCCAACTCTCTCATGATATAAATTAGGAAATTTAGGACAAGGGAAAGGCCTGTCCAAGGTTACTTCATCTTCTATCATATATTGACTTTAAGACCCACCTTTCCCAAA